CTGTAGCTACATCCTAAGGTTTTAAAAACTGAGCTTAAATAAATGATTAGCGGTAATAAAAGCCGAGGGAGGTCAACAGTGATCACTGACTGTTTTAGGAGCTTTTTGAGATCAAATAGAAGAAAATACATAACATTAAACATGTTAACAACACAAAAGCCATATTAAACGCAGACTACTTTAGGCCCGGAAGTAGGATTCATCGCGTCATCACTGAACAACCGGATAGAAGATTGGAAAAATGTTGTATGGTCTCATGAGTCTTGATTTCTGCTACAACATTCAGATGATAAGGTCAGAATCTGGCACTGCCTTGTGGCAGCGGTTTAATGCCGCAGTCTGCCTAAATATTTTTGCTGAATATGTCCATCCTTTTATGACCACAGTGTACCCATCTTCTGATGGCTGCTTCCTGCAGGATAACATGTCATGTCATAAATCTCCAATAATTTTTAAACTGGTTTCTTGAACCTGAGTTCACTGTGCTCAAATGGCCTCAGCACACTCCAATAGAGCACCTTGTGGTTGAACGGGAGATTCACATGGATGTGCAGCTAACAAACCTGCAGCAACCGTGTGATGGGATCATGTCAACACTGGCTGAAATCTCTGAGGAATGTTTCCAGCACCTTGTTGAATACGTCATTAGCGTAAAAGGCAAATGACAGTCCAACATGATGCTAGCAAGGTATACTTTATAGTGGCTACTACTGTCAGCAGGACTGATAGCCTGTTCACACTCCCAAACTATCACATACTGAACCCTGGTCAGGATCTGTTGCCTTTACATTGTAACACAGTGAGTTCCCTTTCAGTGTCATTTTTCAATAGGGTTCGATAGGAGTCCCTTAACATCTGACTGCAGGGGAAAGTGGTCTGCTGGTGTCATCAATAAGGGAGCACTAACCAAAGAGTGTCATGGTAAACAAGTTAATGTCAGAAAAGCAAACAGTGATAGAAATTATAGAACTGAAAAAGAATGGTAGGTTTGTGAAATCGTAGGAGATGCCACCTCACGCTGGACGTCGATATTAAAGAGGTACCTGTGTGTTAAAATATGGTGTTTCTCTGTGGCACATTGTGAGTGAAAATGTCTTGGAATCCCTCTGGATTAATCATTCACTCATCGGAAAAGCTTCCTTTCTCATGGCTTGTTCCTCTCATCCTTCCATCCACCACATAATAATGCTACTACAGACTGTCCTTTCATTACTGGTCTTTGGTCACATCAGTGAAGTGGTTAGCTCATGTGTCATATCTCGGGTTCTCCTCTTTCTCCTATACCAACACACACTCACACACATACTTTGGCAGATATGAGGTAAATGGCTGTGTTTAACAATGGGATAGTAAAATGAGCGAGTCCCCGGTGTGACTTAATATCATCCCTCTGTTCCCTCTGGATATCTTCTCACTCCTGGTTTTGTCCCTCTCCTGCAGTGGTCATCACTCTGTCTCTGACCTCTTTCCCATCCTGTGAGTTAATAACAAGCTTGCTTGGAGACCTTTGCTTGAATCCATGATGTCTGCATTCATTTTGTGCTTCCATTAAAGGCAAGCATGTTCAAGGTGAATGAACAAGTGCTTCAAAAAACACATGAAGACAGATTTGCTTTTACAATAGTGTGAAACTTTAAAACTATTGAATCTGTTAAAGAAAGCAAATCAAATGTTCACCTTGTGTCGCTATTATGGAAATTTTACCTCCTCGCTGACTGTCAGACTCATGTGACATTTAAACACAAGAATATCTTTTCCTGTCTTTTTCAGCTGTCTCTATGATCATGTACAACCCTTGAAAGTTTTACATTCTGAGCATAAACCAAACAACAAGCCCTCATTCCAAAATGCAAAGATGCAAGTAACATGGGCCTACAGCAAACATAAAAAAAAAAAAACAGTTTATTACAGTTACATTTACATCTTCTTCAGTACTGTGCACACTGTCTCACTACAATAGCTTAATAGGATACTTGATTAAATTTTGTTTTTCTGAACTTTTCTATTTCAATATAAGAATGATAAGTTTAAGTACACAGGCAAAATATTGGATAATTATTATTCGGTTCAGAAAATGTATATTATGACATAAAAATATATATTTCATTTAAGAAAAAGGTATACAGTATTGTCTCTAAGATAAATAAATACATTATGGCATATAAAATATCTGATAAAAGAAGAAGATGTGACATGTTCACTGACTTGCTGTGAACCGGAAACTATATACCTCATCATAGAAACAACCTGATAGCCTGACAGTACCAACAGTATCAGTATTTGCTATGATACAGCTATTAACTGTGATAAATGTGCAAAAACTACAGATCTGTTGCTTTCTGTTGCAAATCTGTGGCCATCCACATAAACATAAATTCACATTAATCAGAAATAAGAGAAGAATTATTCATAACACAAGGGAAAAGACCCAGGGAAACCGAGTTAACGATAAAAACCGATAAAAACCCTGAAAACCATAAATTTCACAGCCGAGCCTCAACTCTCATAACTTGGTATCAAACAACTTACGGACCAGTACCGGTTGATGGCCTGGGGGTTGGGGACCGCATAGAAACACATTGAGCTCATCCACACAGACTGACTCAGATGTATTGCACCATGTTGGCAATCGGTGTGAGAGTGATTCCAGTCACTCCAAGTCAAAACGTGATTGGTCAGACTAGACAACCTGGGCAATGGCTTTGCCTTTGCAAATGTACAATTGGTCACCATAACTACTCCAAATGGGTTGGCGAATGCAAAACAATTCACAGCAATTACCGGCAACCCCTTATTTTTGCTGGTCTCAAGGAGGTTATCCTATGTTTACTCTTAAAGGGAGTGAAACATTAGACGAGATAATGTGATGTTGCTGTAGTATCTAAAAATCTTCTGTTGGTTGTCTATGTAACAATACGTATATACTGTATGCAGTACTGGTCTTGGCTGATATTAGCTTTGTTTACTGATATCAGCCTAACAGAAAGCAGTGGATGATGTTTATCTGCTGTGTTGATTTATGTCTGGCAAAACTGTGACGAAAAGTAGAAATACTTTAAAACAGTTAAATTACTTTTATAATGAGTATGTTTCCATCTCCTGGCATAACATAGGAAACAAAACCCTAAACTGACAAAATGAGATATTTTATTTTAAAATGAGCCTACAATAATGAACAATCTAACTGGCACTTCTTTGATTTTGCTTTTTTTGGAGGGAGTAAGTGGTTTTGCTTGTTTGTTAATAAAAATGCTGAAAATGAATATTAATTATTTTAATCTGGGGTGATATTTGCTTAGACTTAGAAAATTGACTTGATTGTTTTTTTTAAATAAATTTTGCATTACATGAAAAATTTGCACTATTACCATGAAGCTGTTTGCTTTATTATAGGATGGACAGTTACAGTAAATACCATGTGATCAACCTATGTCACTTCTATTCTGCCGATTAAAGGGATACACGTAACATTTCTGAACATTTATTTTCACATTATGCCTTGAATGTGGTGAAGACAGTCAACCAGATTTCCGAAGGATTTCTCAAATAATCCTTGGACTAAAGAATTCAAATTCACGCAGTTGTTTGATTCGGGTAATAAAATGTGCCAAGCGATGCCATCTTTCATTGTGTTATTGGTGGCATGGTGCAGTTTAACATTAACAAGTGCTGATGTCTACTGCTTCTTCCTTCTCCTCCTCTTCTCCTCTTCATCATGCTTTGGGGAGGTTGAGAGGAAACGCGGCGATGACAGGATTTTAAAGAAGCTCTTACTCTTAACACCCAACAGGCTATCCGGTCAAACCAAGCACTCCCTCTCTCTCACACACCCACACATCCACGCACATACACCCACCCCCACCCCCACCCGTTCTCTGTACTAGAATTAGCCACTGGCTGCATTCCAGTCAGATCCGCTCAATATTCCACCCTTCCAAAAAAAAAAAAAAAAAAACTCTCTCTTCTCATTGCTCTCTGGAGGCCACACATTGCCACAGTCATAGTTGTGTCACAGCAATCAATCACCCATCAATGTGAAACAGCTACACTGATGCAGAGAAAACACAACGCAACCTCACTGTCATTTCCTCCGAAATCATCTGTCCTTTAGAATCTCCATCCTGCTGCCTGACCTCCATCCTGTGGTCTTTCGCTCTTTCCCACCCTATCACCATATCCATTGCTCCCTCGTGGTTGCAAACTTCACACCCATTATCACCTCACTGTGATTCACTCACTTTATTCATTACCGAGCTGGTGACCTTCTCAGCCATGTGTTTTCCCATTTCACATATGTTGAGAATAAATACTTGAACATTCAGAGAATGACTTGGACATGGAGATGGGATGTTATGGCTGTGAATTGAAATGAGTTTCAAAGACATGTTTGCAAATAAGCAGGGTTATTCTCACAGAAAAGAAACTTTCCTCTTTTTCTGTGATACAACTCCATAGTTTGACATTTCTCTCTGGCTGAGAGCACAGGAACCCCACCCATCATCAAAATCGTTGTTTGCAAGAAGCAACCAATCAGGAAAACGCTGTCTTAAAGGGAGTGCTGTCTAAAAGAGAGAGGATACTAGGTAGGGAGTTGCACAAATACCCAGTCATGCAAAGCTACGCTAGTAGATTTAGTGGATAAAATGTAGAGCTGGAAATTACCAAAATGAGTCTAATAAAATTTGGTTGCACTGCTACTTTGGTTCTGTTGGAGTTGCATGCTAGCCCTATAGTCTGCTAAAATCAGAACCAACTTATTGTCTGAATATGTAGGTGTGGCCAGTAGAAGGTTAGCTTAGCTTCACATAGAGAATACTACCCAGAAAAGCAGCTTTGTTAACTGGCTGCTAGCTTTAGCAACTTTAAAGACATTTATCTCTCATTTGGCAAAAAACTTAATTTCCTCAAAAATATTTTTACTTAACTCTTTAGTCGATGCCCAGTATCATTCATCTATTGCATATCACTTCATTCATTGTTTTACTTTTCTCAGTTCCTACCTAGAGTTGGTCATGTCGGTCTGCCCTCCTTGACTCTTCTCCAGCCCAAGTTTGGTGAAAATCCCCACCAGCACCATGATGGCCACCACTCCACAGATAATATACACAATCATGTGGGTCCGATCCCGGTCCGGTTCCTCCTGGGCTTCTGTAACAGGTGCCACCGGTCGTCCCGTGTTTGCCCACACAGGTGTGTCATAATTTGAACAGGATGTCTGATCCAAACTGTGGATTTTGAACTGGCAGCAGAAGCGGTAGAAGCAGGATCCGCAACAGAACAGGTAGATACCTGCGTTACAGTTAAAAGGTGGGTCCCACTGGCCCATCACATCATAGTAACCCCAACAGCGGTTATCCCCAGTCGGACCTGCTTGCTCCTCTGTGTCTGGTGTCGGGGTTATTAGCGCTGCTTCTGGTGACGTAGATGGTTCTGTTGTCTGGTTGTTGGAAGAGAACTGCGCCAAAGCCTGACCTGACGGCTGAAAGTTCAGACCTCCCAGAGAGATCAAACCCAGGAGGACGGCTAAAGATAAGTTCACCAAGAGTGGATGAATGATGGCAGCCATCTTGGTCTTACTCCAGTATCTTGTGATGTTAGTCCTGATGTGTAAGAGTTAATGACAGTTCCAACTGAAAGCACCTAGGTGTTAGAAATAAAAGAAATAGAGAGTTAAATATCCTCCTTGCCCAGAGCTGTTAGTTATAGCAAATAAATGAATCTTTTTGCTGTGCAAGCAGTGCAACTTAATGAGATACAGTATCAGTGAAACAGGAAGCTGAAGAGGAGAGATCAAGAGATTTTTCCCAGAGTGATAATCTGAAGAAGCATTTTAAAAAAGCCTTCATTAACTAGTTATTAAAATTCCGATTTACAGAAAACTAAACTGTCACTGTGGGAGCAGAACAAGTGAGGAAAAAGAATCTCCCATTTTAACATGCTCCTAGCTAAAGTAAACGTGGGCCCTTGTGAGCGGAAACTCACATGCAGAGACACACGATAGTCCTCGGCAGTTAAATACGTGTAGGTGTGTGTGTCAAAGCGCATTCTAAAATTTCTGTCACCTTTTACAAAGCCATATGTCATCAGCAGACAGCAGAGGCGGTTGTAGACAAATCCAAAGCTGGTGGCTTGGAGGGAATCCAGTTTAGGAGGCCGCGTTACCTACGGATGAACTCGCCTCTGGCATTTCTGACAGTAAGCTCCCCCGCAGAGTGAACGAATAATCCGCAAAAAGTGGGAAGTCTGGGGTCCTGATGTTGCTAGCTGTAAAGGCAGATATCTCTGAAACCTGCAGGCAGTCATGGGTTCCCAACTTTTCACTCCAAAGATGGACTCATATTCCGGTGTGGGGAAAAAACTCTAATGCTCGGCAATGGAGCCAAATCAGTTGCGATATCATTAAAAAGAAAGAAAAGGGAATAAAAAAACTCTGATCAATAGTTTTTCACTTAAGTTGTCTTCGTCACCCACTACTCCCTCTTGAGATTTAACTTGCATCCATCATCCTCTTACTCTCACCGTCGGCGCTCACAGAAAGCTTTTTTATTTTTGTAGTGGGCATCTTTTTGCTGTCACCTGAGTCCACTTTGGTGGGTGTTTACTTCCTCTCCTAGAAGCGCAGCTCCAGTCTTTCATCCACTGAAGTTTTTGTATTGTTAAATATTCAGCTTTTATGACTAAAGACAGTATTGGATAGTTCCTTTCTATTTCCAGTCAGAGCCAACAGGTAACAACAGCTGTTCTGTTTTTTTGGGGAAATTACTCCAGGGTCTCGTCAAGCTAAAATCCTGTGGTGATTACAGTCCAAAAGCGTCCCTCTTGCACCTGAGGCGTGTTTTCGCGTACACGTAATCTCACATTCACTTTGTGAACACATACAGCTCCAATCCCCCTGGTGATAGCACACTGTCAGTGTCAGTCTCTTTTAAGCGACCCACAAGAGTCCAGTGGTTTTTCGTGCTCTGCGGGCACCGGGCTCCTGTTGCTGCTGCTCTGTGTGTGCTCCACTGAAACCCCTCCTCTCCGTGGATCCCAGGGTCTCTAACAGACCCAGGACACCAGCTGGGTACTCTGTCTATCAGCCCGCTCAGTCCTGCCCTTCAAGTGCTTAGGCGAGGAGAGATGAGAGAGAGGGGGGGAGAAAGGGGAGGGCTGATGTTGTGATCTTAATGTCTTGGTGCTGCTGCAGCCGAGACTCTGGAGTAGCCGTGAGAAAGATAAACCTGTCGGAAATACTTGACCAGGAGTGGAGTGGTTTGTTCTTTAATGGCTGTGTCTGCTCCTGTGTTTGGCTCAGTCTTTTCTTTTCTTTCTTTACACTCTGATCTCGCTCTATCTTCTCTATTTTATAATTTTCTCTTTTTCTGTCTCTTCCACAACTTACCTTACTGTTTGCCCACAGCCTCTAAGTAGGGCTGTTTGTTGTTGCTGAGGAAATATCACTGTGAGGTCAGAGAGCCCGTGGACTGCCCTTTGCACTTTCAGCCAGCGCACTTGCACGAGCCTTGCTGGAATAAATATTCCCGCAGCCCAGCTGGATGACAAAGACAAGTGGAGATGCGACAGCCAAACAGCAGAGTGGCACCGAGGGCAGATCAAAAAATATCCTGTTTTCAAAAGAAGCCCCCTTTTGGAAATATAGAGCTGCGTGCAGCAGAAGAGCTTCGCTCTTGCTGGTTCAACTATTCAGTTGGCAGGTTTTTCAATTTTTCCGTTAGCATCAATGTATATATATTTTTTTTTAATTTGTCTTTTTTCCCCACTGAGAACAAAAAAAAAAGAATGAATTACAAAAAAGCTTAAAGCATTAATATGCAACAGTTTTTAAGCAAATGTTGCACATTATCCCCCAATTTTCATACATTTTGCTGTCAATTAAGTCCTTTGTCCGGCTGCAGCTTCTTTGAAAACAGGCATAATTTGATATATATGTATAGGAATTTTATATATATATCATATGTATGTGTTTTCACTGGTGATCTGCTTGTGGGATGCTCCAAACAGAAGTGAAGAGCAAAGGAGACGCTATAAATGCTCTTTTTATTCCATGTTTCCCCGTTGTTGTTGTTGCTGCTGCTTCCTCATCAGTGTGTATTCCATCCTTTCCTCGTCGCCTCACTCTGCTTGCAGCGGGTGTATCCCGTCCACTGGTGATGCTCGCAGTGCTGCTGCTGCTGCTGCTCTGGCAGGACCAGATGACAATATCCCGCGCACTCTCGCTCTCACTCCTCCCTCTCCCAAGTCACTCCTCCCTCTTTTGCTCACTCCTCCCCTCCTTCTCAGCATCTCTCTCTCTCTCTCTCTCTCTCTCTCTCTCTCTCTCTCTCTCTCTCTCTCTCTCTCTCTCTCTCATACACACACACACATACACACACACACATCCATACTCACTCATATCTTTTGTGCGCAAATGAACACAGCTCCCGCTTGCTGACTCTCCCTTTCACTCTCCTCCTCCCTCCCTCATTATGTGTCACTGACACTCTCTCCCTCTCTCTTTTTCCCTCCTCCTGATTTTTCCTGTGTTTTTGTCTCGGCCTCGTCAACACTCACTCTTTGTCCCTTTTGTTTCAGGTTACCTCTATTTCTGTCCTTTTTCATCTCCGTTTGCCTTTTGTCTTTCTAACCTTTTCAGTTTCTTTTATCTATGTCCGGTGCCCTGTGCCTGGGTTTTCATTCTTCCATTGTTCCTATGCTTTATCCACTCTCTTTGCCCATTTTTCCATGGTTCTCCCTCCTCTGTGCTGTTTTCCTTTTTCCAAAATGCCACAGTTCAACATATAGGAAGAATTGATGCTGACTGAGCAGCACGTTGTAATGTGCAGGAATGCTGGTGTGTTCATCTGCAATGTGTGCGTGTTTGTGCCTCAGCGTAATTACTGCGCTAATACCTCTGCACAGTTCGTCTTTGTGTGAGCATGTTTGGACCATGCGTGGCACTGCAGTCTATTAGGGCTGATTTAGGGAAAGAGCGAGCGGTGGTTGAAGTGAGAAAGAGAAGTAAAGAAGAAAGGAAGGAAGGAAGGAAGAGGAAACAAGACTTAGATAAACAGAGAGGAAGGAGAAGGAGGAGGCAGGAAGAGAGAGAAAAGAGGGGAGGAGAGAAGAGGACAGCGGCTGCCAAAGAAAGAGGGTGGCTTGACAGAATAGAGCAGGGGGAGGGAAAGAGAAGAGGAATTATCATAGGAAAGGGAGGGGGATTAAGAAACATGGAGAAAGCTAGTGGAATAGGAACTGACAGAGGGATAGTAGGAGTGAGGGAGGGAGCGAGAGATATACATAGGAAGGGAGCAGACAGGTAGGAGGAAAACCATCTCAAGGGAAGGTGACATTGGGCGTGGAGAGAAAGAAACAGGAAAGGCAGGAGAGGAACAGGGACGGACAGTCTCCAAGAAAATTTCCAGGATGAACTGAAGAGAGATGGCGAAGCAGACGATTATGAATTTTAAATACTTACAGATTTAATGCGGAATGTGAGCCAGATTTTTAAAGAAGCAAAAGAAGTAGTGCCTTTGGGTCTGGCTTTGAAGGGCCCAAGCATCATCATTTTTGCATAAAAGCTTTAAAGCTTTCCTATACTTTCCTTCTCACCCCCTCTCTATTTTATCTTTGTTTATCTTCTTATCATCCATTTTCTTTTCCCCTCTCTCACACATTCACTACAGACTCTTGTGTTTGAGTCACGCTATCCTTTGTTTTTTTTCTCTTTTTTTTGCCCCTGCAAGCCCAAGGCTCATGTTCTCTTGCTGTGTGTACTCTGTCCAACCCTCTCGGCCTAAATTCGCTTAAAATCTCTGGCAAAGCGCGTCAGGAGTTATGTCAAAGAAACACACATGTGCCTACTTCAAAGGTACACGAAAACATTCATGCCGACACGCACGCTCCGGTGACTTCACACCACCGCTACGTGGCACAAATCAGCTAATCCTCCTCCTCCGTCCTCCTGTCTGGCAGTGTCCTCAGCATATTTTCTCTCATTTAAAGAAGGTCATTAATTAAAAGGAAAGAAAAAAAAATTCAAAGTCAGTGTGATTGAAAGCTTGGTGTGCTTTCAGATAGGCAAGATGCTGCTTTTCAGTGGTCAGAAAGGCAGTGAGACATAGGTGCACAGCGTGTTGGCTGAAGAGCAGGACAGGAGGCAAAGAGGGATGAAAATGGATGAAGAGGTACAAAGATGGCCCCAGGGGAACGATGGCGGGCAGAGAACAGATTGAATGGGAGATCTTAAATCACTTCACTTTCTCTCTTCTTTTCTGCATGGCTATGGTCTGACAGCACGCAGACTCCCATTTCTGCATTGCATAGCTTTGCTCTTTGGTGATGTTACCTAGGATGCATACGCATGTATTATTTTCTCCCTTAACAAGGACAGCCTTACAGTAACATTTAAGGACCTTTGTGTCAGATACTGAGAATGCCAGCGCACACATTTGTGCTCTACAAAAGACATTTGATTTACAGAAAGTTACAATGCACAAAAGTCAACAGCATGAATGTGTTGATTGAACAACTTGAACACATCTCTGCAGAACTGCCGTGTTACAGTTTGGGTGAGTCTGCTCAGGTAACCTTGGGTTCCAATAAAGTAAATTTTGTACTCAGATGCTGAAGATGCCAATTTTTTGTAACCGCATGGATTTTTGGGTTTAATTATCAACTACCATACAGATGTGCGTTAAGTGGACAGACCATCAGTTCAGGTCTGCGAACTAAAACTCTCCTTAGCATTAATTAGATATAGCAGTGTATGTAAAATAAGTTCACCGTGCTGATTAAAAACGTTCCATTCTTTTAATGTAGCACGATGTTTTATTCTGGGAAAGTAAGCACAGTGATTTAGTCAAATAACAGCAGTTTTCATTTAATCACTTAACCTTATTCATTCATGCAAACTCACTCATTGCTCACTGCTTGAAGTTTCTCTTTCCCTTCCAACCAACAGCTCTTTTTGTTTGCACTGTTTCACAGCGAACAGTAATCAGGGCAGTTTGTGTAAAACATGGAAATCAGCTTTTGATTGGAGACAGTTAGCTTAATGCAAACTTGTCAGACTTTAGGAAAATTTGCAGCCTGATTGTTTCCAATCGTACAAATAAGCTACTTAGTTCAGTTACACTAGAGTAGAAACAGGATGGCAACGTCCTTATGATTAGTGGAAAAAATTAGTGGAGTGTTGCCCAGTGATTGTGTTGGTTTTTCTTAATTGGAAGGAGTTAAGAGAGTTTGGGACCAACTGGTTGATAGTGCAACACCCACAAGCTCAGAGCGAACACTTTCAGAGTCGCCAGCCGCGCACACATCAGCAGCACCACAAGACCTTCATTCTTGTTTTAAGCCAGCGAGGCGTGATTGTGGATGCCGCTCAGGTGCGTCCACCTCCCCCGCAGCCGCAGGCCACGCCCTCCACATTTACTAATACCTTACTAATGCTTAAAAGTGTGACATTATTATAAAGTGCTACCAAAAAGAATTCCATGTCACCTTTACTTTGTGCTATATATTTCATTTAAGGAATCTTAAATTCCTTAAAATAGTCTTTGCAAAATTTGTAAAATAGTCTTTGCAGACAAATAATATAAAGTCTTTCACTCATTTCATTGTGTCTGCATGATGGATGTGAAACTGGAAGCAAAATAATCAACAGCTGTCGGTGCGTCTTTGTGAGCTGGATGAATACGCTGACATGCTGTACAGGCTCGCTTTCATGGGCGTCTGAGTCAGTGTCACTGCAGCACACATGCAGCACTCTTTGCAGATGATTTCTTCTTAGGGAACATTATTTGTGTTAAATCAAAAGTATTTGCAGACAACAGATGATGATCCGCTTCGAGGGACAAGCGCTTCACCTTCTGTTGTGCCAGGCGTTTGATTTTTGTTGCATGTCTGCCTTTTTGCATAGTGTTACTTATCCAGAAAATTGCAGGAAACTTCAAGCTGCACAGTGCAGAGAAGAGCTGTGACCGGCACATGCCGGCATGTGGCAGGTCCTGGTTTAGGGAGCACTCGATTTGCTTTTACTTTGGGTTTTAATCAGCAGAGCACACATTTTCATTATTGCTCCAGAATGCTCATTTGTTTGTCGGTTTGTTTGTTGGTGGTCAATAAAATTAGACATGAGTGCAGTCCACAGTGAAAGTTACATATTTTTGAAAAAATTCATAACATCTGGTTCAAAGTTTTTTTGTTACTGGTAGCTCCGGTTTGCATTGTATAAACAGGAACTGCTGCTATAGTGAAATGAACCTAAGTCCATCAGAAGGATCATTTTCAAAGACAGCAGAAATGTCATCTCTTCTCACTTTTCTCTTTGCCTCTATCTTTTCATCCTCCTCGCTTTTCACTCTTCCCCTCTTTTTCTCCCTTACGTTCCTCATCATTCACTTCCGTTCTTTACTTTCTCTTCCTTCCCTTTTCTTCACCCTTTGGAAAATTTCATTTCAAATTTAAGGAGGATAGAAGCGTTTCCTCAAAGCTAACCTCAGTTTTCATCTCTGTCACCTGCCATCTCCGCTGCCACTTCAAACCACGTCTCCTCTTTACTTTTACTTTATCCTTTCCTGAGTCTGTCTCCATCTCTCACCTCACTTTCTTTCGTATCATCTCATCAAACTGTCTCCCGTGTCTCTCAGATTCCAGTGCATGTGCAGCACCACGCCACTCCTGTCAGTTCCACTCTGTTTTTCCTTGTAATGTAGCATTCTTTCGGCACCGTGTCACTCCTCTTTTGCTTGCTATAGCTAGGCATCCTTCCTTTAGTCTCTCACTGTCACTGACTGTCACTCCCAAAGGATTGTTTCAGGGCAGAGTAAATGGATGGAGATACATGACAGCAAGTCAGGCCAGGCCATGAGAGGATGCACGGAAAAACAGATACTCCAAGTTACACAAATTCAAACCACCATGAGCAGTTATTCGGCCTGAGCTAACAAACTCAGTTTACTTCAGTTTACTATTACAGCTAGTTTTCTACTTTTTTTTTTTTCCAGTTTTCAGTTTTTAATATCAAAAATAAGACATTTTAGACTGTCTCGCTGGAGGTTTAAATGTCTTTCTCTGCTCTCATCATTGCAGTTCTCTTTAAATAAAATTTTTATTTGCAGAATGCGTCTCAGATCCCTCTGGGGGTTGCATCAGGAAGGGAATCCGATGTAAAAATCTGCCAAATCAAA